GCGTCCAAGTACTCGGCGAACTGCTTGGCCGTGCGGACATGCGCATCTGCCAGGGCTTTTTCCTCTAGTAGCGGGCCATTCTTGTTGTTATCCTCCACCAGCTCAGAATAGACCTTACCATCCATTTTCGGGCTGCGGTTCTGGATCGGGGTTGGGAGAACAAACCGGTCGGCAAAAGAATTCATTCCTCTTCCAGGCCAAAGTGCGAGGGCGTGGCAGTCATCATATTCCTGCGGGCTGGAGTATGTCCCAGGAAACCAGGTTCCAGTGAAGGGTTTAGTACGGTTGATGGCATAAATCTGCATTACTCATAATATGGGATATACCATAATTCCCATAGATTTAGGGTCCTTAAGGTAGTGCAGGATTTATATCATCAACCGTATGTCTCAGGTTTCACGAGTTTGACCTCAAAGACATTGCCCAATCAAGCTAATACAGGGGCCTTAAAAATTGGGATAGGATTTGGTAAGTACCGGTAACTACTCAAGCCTTCTATCTTAACGGAATGGCAGAGCCGCCTTTGATGTCGTGCTGTATGTGATCTTGTAAGGTTTCTTGAACCCGATGTAGTTGCTCCAATCACCATCGCCCAGGACCTGGTTGCGAAAGGGGGGACTCTCTAAGCTAGTTTCCTTCGGTGGGGTTTGTTGGATTACGGTTTTGGGCTCTTGGCTTGAGGGCTGGAGGGCTTCACGGATTTGGGAGTTGAGGGGTTCAGGGTTTATAGGGCTTGAGATTTGGAGCTAGCCTGGGTTGATGTCTAGGCTGGTGGTCTCCTTGGGCCACCTGCATGAACGTCTTCCTCCTGGGCTTATCTCGACGTTGCCTCAACGTCCTCACAGTTCAGGGAGACTCCTCTCTTCTATTGTCCCGATGCTTGCCTTGTGTGATTTGCCCTGTAAACTCACAACTCCATATTATGAATCCTAGAGCCAGGATGCCGTGATTCCTGAATCAATTCCTAGGACGAGCCGGACACCCCCAAAACCATAAAGGCCTGTAGGTGCCTTCATAATTAGAACGGGTTTTGGAAGCACATCATAGTATACGTAGAATCAGGAACCCCCAAAAGTCGATGGCCTCGGCTCTCGCACCTTAAACCCTTGAACACCGAAACCAGGTAGACAACCCTATACACAATAGAACCCCAAACACGAAACCCTAAACCCTCCCGAAACGCTGAGCAAGAAGTCTATCATGCCCCGAAATCACAAGGCAAATCCTACCCTAATCCCTAAGCCCTAATCAAACGAATCCTGAAACCTGGACATGCTGAATCCGAGCATGAAGCCGGCGAAAACCCCATCTCAAACTGAATCACAAACAAACGCTTACCCTAAGGGTCCACGTACCCCAATAGTATATACTTGGGCCCCAAAGTACCTATACAGGGACTACTTTAAGGCCAAAGTATATACTATTTGGGTATATGGACCCTTAGGGTTAACGACAACCCCGGCCCCACCTTCGCTGTGTTCGGATCGGCCTCACGCACTTTTCTATACCAGTCTGAAACACAGAGGGAGGCGTTGTGCCTGGGCATCAGAGGATTTTAGGGTTTAGGGTTTAGGAGTTTAGGGTTTAGGGGAGGCGTCTTGGGCCGAGCTCCACGGGTTTCGAATGCACTTGACGGCACCTTGAAAAAGGCTGTGGGTTTAGGGTTTAGGCCGTTGCACGGAAAACTCGGCTATCGATACATGGCTACACATGTCCAAGTGAATTTATGTTTGAAGACATAATATAGATTCGAGTGCTTCTGTACACGACGCTATTGACAGAACGAGATCGCACCTACAACAACACTGTGGAGTGAAGCTGACCAGCAGCTCCGCCGCTATTATGACTTACGCTATCCCTATGGACTCTCGGTATTGCAGGGGGACATGTCGGAATCAACTAACGATGGAGTCTTCGGCTGAAGACGCTTGTCCTGCTTCTCTCAAGTAGGACCCATTGGTCTTCAACGGGGTCCTGAAGCCTTTCTGGCAACTTTCGGCCTCACTTCGGGTGCCTACGAATCCTGCGACTCAACCAATGAACAGTCCAGCAGAGGTGCCGTGTGAAGGAAGGAAAGCTCATGCCAGGTTTAAAGTGGCGGAGACTGAACTTCAGCTCAGCAGAAACGCCCGGTGTGTTCTGCCACTGCAGGCTCTGGTTGGCCGTGATGCCATGCACCAGCCAAGCCATCAGGTAGCCGTTCAGCGGCAAGACCTTGTCGGGGCGTCGGAGGTGCACGGCTTAACTATGGGAGTTTAGGGTTTAGGGTCTCTACCAATCACCCGAAGTGGCAGAAGGACCTGATCAATCATGCCAGGGGGCGTGGTACAGCACAACTTTGTCCTCGTTTTGCTCCTCGACATTTTTAACAGCGGCGCGCAACCACTCGCTGCCGCTCTCCGTGAACACTTTCCCCCTCTCGGCATCTTTGACGTACTCCTGAGTTCTGGAGCAACCGTGCTGCAGAACCACCACGGTAGTTTCTTCAGAAACAGAGTACGACGCAAAGAAACAGGGAAAGTGCTTCACAGCCCGGATGCATCAAAGCGCTCCGCCGAAGCTTCGCCGAAAGTCAAGGCCAGGAATGAGAACAGAAACCACAGAGCCATGGCATGGGCTATCACTTTGCATCCTACTTAAAGGTTCATGGGACTTAGTAACTAGGGTTATAAATAAGGTAACTATACTTATAATTACTTATAACCCTAATTAAGGTACTTATAACTGTACTTACTAAGTCCCATGAACCTCCAAGTAGAGCCTACACCGCGATCATGCGTCGCTGCTTGGATTCTCTACACCATAATACCTTTGAAGTCCTAAAGTCCTATAAGGCCCTGAAGCCCTAAACCCAAACCCTAAACCCTACACCCTAAACCCTAAAGTCCTCAAGCCCCTTCAACCCTCAACCCTAAAGTCCTCAAGCCGCCTAAACCCGAAATGAGCCCATGACTTTCCCAGCCAGGCTCCGGGTATGTGAGGCCATGGTCTGATAGGGCTTCTGCGTGGGGGGGTCAGGGTTAGGGCTTGAGGGTTCAGGGTTTAGGGTTTAGGGTTTAGGGCTTGGGGGTATCAGGGTTGAGGGTTTTAGGGTTTTCGACTTCGGGTTTTGCTTTTGGAACCCCGTTTGCCCACCTCATACCCCAGGCATTCGGTGGAATCCTCCTCGTGGAGTTTAGGGTTTGGGGTTTAGGGTTTAGGGCTTGAGGGTTTCGGGATTGAGGTTTCAGGGTTTTCGCGTTCCCCGTGTCTCCACTTCATACCCCAGGCATTCGGTGGAATCCACCTCGTACGGGTGAGGGTTTAGGATTCACGCTCGGGGCTGCAAAGTGTTGGATTTCTTGTCCTTTGGAGTTCGCCGGTTTGGGATTGTGGGCTCTTGGCTGGGAAGACACCCTACGTTTCATGATTCTTGCGTCACTGCCAAAGCCCTGGAACTAAAACCCTGGAAACTTCTTCCACCCCGTAAAAAAAAGAAAGCTCGTGCTTTAACATAACGCGTCAACCAATAATAACTCCTAAACCCGTATCACACTTTCACGACCGCGCCACCGCCACAGTAATAAACACCCTCAAGAAGTCCCTCTTCTGTTCGTCGGGTTCTGAGGGACTTCGAGTGCGCTGATAGTTTGCAGCGCCAAGCTTTTAAGTCTCCAGGACCTTACCCCTTTATCCATCAGAGCTACGTATGCATTGAAGGTTCGGGTGCAGGGGATGCCCCAAACCAAAAACCCTGAACCCGAAACCCTAAACCCGAAACCCTAAACCCTAAATCAAGTTTTGGGTTTCGGGCTTGGGATCCTTGCTTGTAGGCTGCGAGGCTCGGAAGATGGGAACACAAGAGCTGCGTCTCACTAATGTATGGGCCTTAAGAATTAGAATAGGGTTCCTTTGAGGGTTCCGTTTAACAGGGGTCCATAAGGGCTACTGTAAGGCTCTAGTGTAGGTGCCTTAATAATTAGACTAGGGTTTGGGGGGCTCCTTCTTACAATTATCGTATAATGTACCCCCAGAATTATGAGGGCCCCTATATTACTCCTTCTTGCTTCAGGGACCCAAGAAACCTTTCGCAGATCTGGGGCGAAGTCATCGGAACCAATGTGGGCTGGAACTTCGCGCAGACTCTATCCGGGTTTCACCGAAGCATCCCTACTTTCTCTCAGGCCCGCAGTGGATGCTCGCGAAGCTCCACGTCTGTCATAGCTGCAGTTGTTGCCCTCAGGTGGTGGCGCCTGTACTGAAAACAGGGCAGGAGCACCCCAAGACACAGCACCAGCACAACGATTGTCAGGATCCGAGAGGGCCAGGGTGAGCTCTCGTCTTTCTTTTTCTTTGGGTGTTGCAGCACACAATTCCGGATGTCCTCTAGAACACTCGCGGCGAACTCCATAAAATCCGGGTCGGCAAAGGCCATGGAAGTGGCAATGATCTTCACGGACTCGCTCATATCGAAGGGTGCAAGACCCCAGCCCCGCTTCAAGAGCACGCGTGCCGTGACCTTGTCACCTTGCGCCGTGTTTTTCAACAGTTTGTAGGCATCCATGAAACTGACATCTCTCCAATCCTTATGCTCGTGGCCGGCTGGAGGGGCTGTCCTCTCTGACTCTAATTTCCACTCAGTACTGACATAGGCCAAGTCATTGGCCGAGTCCGGCGGCAGCACCACTTGCAGGAGAACCCTGGCGAAGCCTTAGGGAATGCTCGCATCTTGTTGCTCCTGCTCACTTCTTGAACCGTATAGTATACGGGCTGGACATGAACACTGAACACTTCGTACCTGGTAGCACTTCATGCCGAACCGTCTTCTGATGCATCGAGAATTTGGTTCCATTGGATAGGCCACTGCATGAAACCCCCTAAGGCAACAAGCGCGCAATACCAAATTAAATACCTGTAACCCCACTGTCAGTACAATTCTTATCGCACAAGCCCGTAACGCCTCTATTTGTGAACCCATTTGGAAGGTCGGGGGACCTAGTACGTAGGTAGTAAGTAGACTTCAAAAGTACCCTCAAAGGGGTCCTAATTGGGGCTATGATACTTGTAAGTCTATAAAATAACTAGATACTTAAGTCCCCCGACCCTCCAAGTAAGACCTAAATCCTAAACTCTAAACCCTAAACCCCTCTTCGGATACTTATAAGTCTACTTATTACCCACTTACTAAGTCCCCCGACCCTCCTAGCCGTCCCGAGGGCTGTTCCCCCTAGACCCGGAGTCCGAAATTCCATGCCCGAAGCTCTCAGCATCAGCCCCTTCTGCAAACTGCTTCGGTCTAGCCTGCATAAGACACCTTCGAACCAAACAAGCACCTTAACGCCTAAACATGCCGAAACCCTAAACCAACCGAGCACCTCAATGGCTGAAGACTTGAAAACCCAAGGCTTCGAGAGCTCCACACTTGAAGGATCTAGGGACCAGTTGGCGGGCGATCAGCTGGAACCCGAAACCCTAAAGCCCTAAAGCCAAAACCCTACACCTAAACCTTACACCCGAAGCTCTAAGCCCTAAACCCTCAGACTTAGATTAAACCGCCTTAGTGAACTCTCAACCATAAGGAGTCCCCCCAAAACAGTACTGGTAACTATTTAGGCCCCCATATTAACCCTGACCCCTGGAGCCTCCCAAACCCTAGTCTGATTACGAAGGCCTCTACATTCTAGAACCCCTATAGTGACCCTTATAGTAAGCCCTACAACCTTATTCCAATTACGAAGGCCCTGTTGTTAGAGCCCTTCAGTGAACCCTTAAAAAGAACCCTCGAAACCTGTTCTACTTCCGAAGGCCCCCATCTTACATAACAGGTGGGACCTCGCCTCGGCCGTGAAGCGGTCAGAGTTTCGCACAGGGATCCCCTCCTTCCTCCTTCCTCCCCCCGGTTTAGGGTTTTTAGGGTTGAGGGCCCCCCGGCCTCCCCCCCCCCCTTCCGTCGGTTAGCGGTCTCTTTCAAGCGATGGCTTCAGGGTTGAAGAAACAACAGCCGAGCAAGTCCTCGGCCCTCTTCACTTGCGGCCCGGCCGAGGTGGACGACACGAAGCGTTAACACTTACTGGCTGCTCTAACTGATTCATCATCATGTGGGGGCCTGGCTTTTAGAATTGAATAGGGTTTTGGTGATATTGCACAAAAAAATGAATGCTTCTCGGGGCGAGCAGTACTAATTCATCCAACCCCGAGTCGCCTCTCGTGTCTTCTGGGGTCGGTAGGCCACCATTTTGGAGCCGGATGGCCGCATCCTGTTGCGTGTTCGGGCATTCTGCAGGATTTTCAGGCTCTGGGGTTCTCGGCTCAGGGTTACGTAGGGGCTATAGAATGGTAGAGGCATAGGCTTGTTGAGGCGGGCTGGCCTCACTGTTGTCAGATGATCTTGTCGCTTTCTTGCCCATAAGAATCTTCAAAAGAACAGCAGTTCGAAAGGTTGGAGAGACGGCTCTTTTTCCATATGTGTGCAAGGCCCTGCAAAGAGCATGTGCGGGGTTACAAGTCAAGCTACATGATACCACAAGAGTTCGGTCAAGCCATGCAAAGGTTCCCACAGGCCTCCAACACTCAGCGTCCCCGACTCCCTCGTCCCCGACTCCCTTGTTCTAAACCCCGGCCCCCACTCCTTTCTACGACATCCGTCCCTTTCTGGACAGGTGGGGTTCTCAGCCCGCCTTGGTCCACTTACTTGCCACATGATCAAGGTTCATCTTTTGCAAGTCCTCAAGCTGCGCAGGGCTCAGATCCTAGGGTGTTTTCGACTTCAAGCCGGGAGGGCAGCAGGAATGGGCGGGCTTCTGGCTCGATTGGTAGGTACTGAAATCCGGCTCTCCGAACTGGGGAAGTCGTGCTAAACCCACACTCCGAACTAAGCCTCCAAACCTATGCCTGCAATCCGGGACAGGGGCCTGCTTGCTTGCATTACGTGGCTCTGGACGCATAGCTAACGTTATCTTAATGCGACTTAGTATCAACAAGAACTACAGTCCGGCATTGCTCAAGAAAGCATTGGATAAGAAAGTGTGGTTAGTTTCTGGGTTTTCCGAAAATTCGGGAGGCATGCAGCCACGCCGGTTCCCAACCTTTCAAGCAGGTTCGGCTTAGGCTCCGGTCGGAAGGGTGCGCGATCTCCTTCCCAGCATTTGCTCATTAGTTCAGTCCTGGCGAAGGGTGCTGCAAGATTCGAGCGCATGCGCTCAGGGCTTCCGGTGGTGATTAACATCCAGGTCTGAAAAGAGAACTAACCTCTTCCCAACTGGAGTTACATTCTCACCTTTGGCAGCTATGGGGTGTATGTCGGTGTCGCGCCTCTAAACGGCAAACCAGCGGAAGACGAACTTCTTAGAAACCACGTTGAGGTCTTGGGGTGGTGCCCGCTATGTCACTCCTCTCATGAAAGTCTTGCGATTTGACCGGAAAGCGCATCAGTGCTGCGCATCTGAGCAAGGACAGCAGATTGGAAACCTTCTGGAGTGTCCTGCAGTCTCTGTTCAGCGTGGGTCGAGGAAGGATGCTTTTAGCGGTTGTGGTATAGGAACAGAAACAAACGCACCCCCAAGGCTGGCCCAGGGACACCGGCGAAAGTTTGAAGGAGCCAAGCACTTGATCAAGCAAAGCCGGTCTGCCCCCAAACTCTGGCCCGTGAATAGATTCCAGCTCGTCGTGTTTCATCAAGTCAAACTCCGCCGTTTGCCACAGTGTGAAGTGCTGCCACATGCTTGGTGTGCCGAGTTGCTTCGCGCCGATGAATGCATTGCCGAGCAAGTTGATCTGTGCATCGAGAAGTCCTCGGTTCGCCAAATCCGAGCCCCAAACCCTGGACCCTCGGTCGCGCCCAAAGCGTTCAGGTGTGGTTTAGGGCTGACGGCTTAAAAAGCTGAAGCTCTTGAACGTGTCATGATTCTGAAAACACGTGAAACTACGTCAGATGGCTTGGTGCAGCTCCATGAGTCCACAAAGAAGCATGACCGAAGATCCTTGAACAGGATTGTAACTGCAACGAGAACCTTGATCAATGAGATGAGTAACTAACTAATTGCGCACCTCTGAACAAGAAAACCGCTAACCCCTAAACCCTAAACCCCCAAACCCCTAAACCCCTAAACCCCTAAAGCCCTAAACCCCTAAACCCCTAAACCCTAACCCCTAAACCCTAAACCGTGATCGGATCCAAGAGTCTGTCCGAGACACCTACTGTCGACATCCCGTTGAGATAAGAAGGCATGTCCTCCCACTTCTCACCGACCTTGGAACGCGGCAAAGGGTTTAGGGTTTAGGGGTTTAGGGTTTAGGGCTTAGGGCTTTAGGGCTTTAGGGTTTAGGCTTCTCACCGACCTTGGTTCACGGCCCCTGGCTAAGCCCGACACGCGAGATTTCTACTGCTAAAAAGGATGCGCAGGGCTTCACGACGAGGGCTTTTGCAATACCCTTCTGGTCCAGGTTGAACTGAAACCTAGAAACCTTACAACCGGCCTTAGCGTCCAAGTACTCGGCGAACTGCTTGCCCGTGTTGACATACGCTTCTCTCAGCGCTGTTTCCTCCAGTAGGGGGCCGTTCTTGTTGTTGTCCTCCACCAACTCAGAATAAGCCTTGCGGGCGGGGGTCGGGGGACCTTGGGGGGCTTGCGGAGTAGTATGTCCGCATTTAGGCGACCACAACTATTTTTCGTGTGGGGTTCGGGAGTTTGCTGGCGATGCGAAAGTTTAATTTGCCGGCGACCGGGGCGAAGGTATTCCAAACCCACTTAAACGTTCATGGGAATTAGTAACTAGACTTATAAACAAGGTAACTATACTTGTAATTACTTATAACCCCAATTGAGGTACTTATAACTGTACTTACTAAGTGCCATGAACTAAGTACGGATCATTCAAGATCCTATGAAAAGTCTAGATAAGTAAACGATGGTATGCGCAACCGGTCGCTGAAAAGGCTCATACTTGTGTCATGCTGCTGCTATGCTCTACAACCGTATGTTGAAACGATACTTTACTGCCACGGCACCGTGACTGCTTACGATAATCTCAATGCTGTCGTTACCACATAAAACCATACTGCAGTCCCACAATCTTTCCGCACAGGCATGTTACCATGGGATCAAGCACTCATTCTCGTTGTGTTTCAGCAATATTGATTCCATCGGAAATGGAGAGATCCCCGAAACTGGCCAGAGACCCCAGTTTCTGATTCCAAGCCAAGGTACGAGCGCCTGGCAGTCATGATACACCTGGGATCTGGAGCAATCCAGAAAGCTGCCGGTGAGAGGTTTTGGTGTTCAGCAGTTTGGGGCTTGAAGCTAGGCACCAAACAAATGTAGCAAAAAAACCTGCTATTCCAGAACCGAGAGGCCTTTCTGACCGTGTTCCTGTAAGTGACTTCGAAGTCTTTCCAATCTTTCATATCTGTGGGCATGCTCCAGCGGTTGCTGAATGCCCCGTCGCCGAGGATCTGGACGGGATGAGAGAGTCTCGACGCAAGCATGTCAGTGAGAATTTTGGGGCTTCGGATTCTAGGTTTAGGAAGTTTACTGGATTGATGCACTCTTGGTGGCCTCTATCGTGAAACATGCCACCTCGGTATCGCCGGGCCACCCGCGTGGAAGAGTCTTGTGGCATGAGCTACCTAGGACCTAGCGGTTCGCCGTTGGTCGGCTGTAGTCCGCTGACTATGGAGCAAAGTTCATCATTCCCAAACCCAGTTTTCTGGTGCTTTTGTACTCCAGCACTTAGTGCACTACTTATCGGCCATGCCATGATTCACAAGCTACTATGTGCGTTTCTATATATGATACCGTCGTGCGATCTTGTGTCGCCATGGCGATATGACTTTATGAACATGTACTTGCTGGCACTTGTTACTTGGCGTGTTGGGTTGGCGTACGACCGTGTCTTCTTCAAGCGTCGTGATGCTCGGCGAGGACGGTCGCATGCTGCGATGGCATTTTCTACCCGTCCTTTCTGCTGTGTTTCAACATGTCATAAAACTCGCCTTGTTGCAAGTTTCGTGCAACGACTCTGAGCAAACAAAAACCCTCACAACTCCAGCCCACACATCGTAACCCTCCCAACCTTAAACCCCTCAACCCCGAAAACCCTACTACGCCCCAAATATGCCCAAACCCTAAAAACCCCCCGAAACCCTTAACCCTCCCGAAACCCCAAACCCCTAAACCCTAAAACCCTCCCCCGAAGCCCTAAACCCCCAAAACCCCTAAACTCTAAAACCCTAAAACCCTAAAACCCTAAAACCATGAACCCTTAAACTCCAAAACCCTAAACCCCAAAACCCTTAAACCCTAAAACCCTAAACAAACCTCAACCGGGCCGACCTTCGCCTTCGTTGGGTCGGCTTCTCGCACCTTTCGATGAAACCTCTGTCCACAAATCGAGGCATTGTGCCTCGGTCTAGGGTTTGTTTAGGGTTGAGGGTTAAAGGGTTTCGTGTTGAGGGGCTTAGGGTTAGGGGCTTTGGGTTTAGGCATGCTTTTTTTAGTCGTTTAGGGGTCTAGGGTTTAGGGGTTTAGGGTTGAGGGCCTAGGGTGGGTTGCAGGTCTAGGGTCTAGGGTTTAGGGTCTGGGGCTTAGTGGTTTAGGGTTTAGGTTGTAAAGATATGTAATGCATTATCTACGGGAGTTTGAGAAGGCCCTACAGGGTGTAGCGCGGGGCAGGGTATTTCATGAAGGCCTCGACTGGTTTGGCGGGGTTTAGTAAGGTTCTGCAAAGCTCGACAGCTTTCTGTGGCTTTCATGAGGTCTGATGCGCTGCTTGGGTAGTGGGCGAAAGGCAAAGACTATGGGAGCCAGCTCGAAATCAACGTGTGTACATATATGCATATAACATTCTGTATGTATGTGTACATACGTGTGCACATATAGATATATATATATATGCATATATAGATATAGATATATATATATATGTGCATGTACATGTACATGTACATGTACATGTACATGTACATGTATGTGTATATGTATATGTATATGTATATGTATATGTTTTATGTGCACGTATATGTATATGTATATGTATCTGTATATGTATGTGATGGTATATGTATATGTATATGTATATGTATATGTG